CCCCTTTATTGAAGACAAGGTGGTTGAGTGTGTTTGCAGTTGTGGTTGTATATTCTAATCTATTTCACTGATCTTCAGCTCTGTTTTGGTTTCAGTACCATGTTGATTTTACTACGGTTGCTTTGCAGTATAATTTCAAGTCAGGGATTGTGATACCTCCTGCCTTGCTTTTGCTGCTTAGAACTGTCCTTGCTATTCTAGGTATCTTATCACTCCAGATGAATTTTAGGAGTGATTTCTCGAGTTCTATGAGGTATGTTGATGGTATTTTTATCGGGATTGCATTGAATCTGTATAACAGTTTTTGGAGAATGGCCATTTTCACAATATTTATTCTTCCTATCCATGAGCAAGGGATGTTTTTTCCATTTTCTGAGGTCATCTTCAATTTCATTTTTCAGTGTAATATAATTTTCCCTGTACAGGTCTTTCACTTCTTTCGTGAGAATAATTTCTAGATATTTCATTTTTTGGGTTCCTAGTGTGAAGGGTGTGGTTTCTCTTATTTTTCTTTCTGTGACTTTGTTGTTAGTGTATAGGAATGCTATTCATTTTTGAGTATTGATTTTATAGCCAGCTACATTACTAAATTTATTTATTATATCTAGCAGTCTTTCAATGGAGTTTTGGGGATCTTCTATATAGAGTATCCTGTCATCTGCAAATAATAATAGCTTAAGTTCTTCTTTTCCCACCTTTACACCTTTTATTTCTCTCTCTTGTCTAATTTCTTTGGCTAGTATTTCCAGTACTATATTAAATAGGAGTGCCGATAAGGGACATCCTTGCCTTGTGCCTGATTTTAAAGTAAAAGCCTTCAATTTTTGGCCATTTAGAATGATATTGGCTGTTGGTTTGTCATAGATGGCCTTTATTATATTGAGGTAAAGACCATCTATTCCCATTTTCTGCAGGGTTCTTATCATGAATGAATGTTGGACCTTATCAAAAGCTTTTTCTGCATCTATAGAAATGATCATGTGGTTCTTACTTTTGGCTCTATTGATATGATATATTACATTTATTGATTTACGTATATTGAACCATCCCTGCATGCCTGGGATGAATCTCCCTTGGTCATGGTGTATGATCTTCTTGATGATTCGCTGCATCCTATTTGCCAATATTTTATTGAGGATTTTTGCATCTATGTTCATTAGGGAGATTGGTCTGCAGTTCTCTTTTTTAGTTGGGTCTTTCTCAGGTTTTGGTACTAGAGTAATGTTTGCCTCCAGGAATGACTTAGGAAGGATTGCTTCCCTTTCAATTTCATTGAAGTGTTTGAGGAGTGTCGGCATTAGGTCTTCTTTGTATTTCTTATAGAATTCTGCAGTGAATCTGTCTGGGCCTAGGCTCTTCTTTGTAGGTAAGGACTTAATTACATTTTCGATTTCATTAATAGAAATTAGGTTATTCAGTAGTTTTACATCTTCATGACCTAGCTTTGGTACTTCATATGCTTCTAGGAATCTGTCCATTTACTCTGTGTTATCAAACCTTTGAGAGTAGAGGTTTTCAAAATAGGTGTTGATGATTTTCTGTATTTTTATAGGGTCTGTAGTGATTTCTCCTCTTTCATTCTTTATTGCATGAATTTGAGCTTTTTCTTCCCTTTTTAAAAATAAGGTTGACTAGGGGCTTATCAATTTTATTTATTCTTTCAAAGAATCAACTCTCTGATTCATTGATTTTTTGGATTTTTTTTTTTTTAGTCTCTATTGCATTGATTTCTGCTCTGATTTTTATAATTTCCTCTCTTCTTTTGGCTTTGGGCTTGACTTACTCTTCTTTTCTGGATGTCTGAGGTGTAACATTAGGTTATTTATTTGTATTCGTTCTGTTTTCCTGATGTGTGAACTCAGTGCTATAAATTTTCCTCTGAGGACAGCTTTCATTGCATCCCACAGATTCCAGTAAGTTGTATTTGTGTTTTCATTTTCCTGTAGGTAGTGTTTAACTTGATTTCCTCTGTGACTCACTGATTACTCATGAGTGTGTTTTCAGTTTCCATGTCTTTATGAGATTTTGTAGTATCTTTTATCATTAATTTCTAATTTCATAGTGCTATGGTCTGATAGCATGCAAGGGATGATTTCAACCCTTTTGCATTTATTTAGATATGTTTTGTGAATTAATATATGGTCTATTTTAGAAAATGGCCCATGTCCTGCTGAGAAGAATGTGTATTCTCTTGTTGTTGGGTGGAATACTCTGTATATGCCTATTAAGTCTATTTGTTCCCAAGTGCGATTCAGTTCTTTTATTTCTTTGCTGATTTTCTGTCTGGTTGATCTGTCCATTGGTGAGAATGGTGTGTTAAGATCTCCTGTTAGAATTGTGTTACTGCTGATTTGGTTTTTCATTTCTGTTAGTACTTGTTTTATATAACTGGGTGCTCTGGAATTTGGTGCATGTATATTTAAGATAGTTATCTCTTCCTCTTGGAGTTTTCCCCTAACTAGTATGTAGTGACCTTCTTTATCCCTTCTGATCATTATTGGCTTGAAGTTCACATTGCCTGCAAACAGAATGGCTACACCTGCTTTTTGCGGGTCCTGTGGCATGAAATATTGTTTTACATCCTTTGACTTTTTATCTGTGAGTATCCTTTTGGGTTAGATGGGTTTCTTGTAGACAGCCTATGGTTGGATTTTGTTTCTTGATCCATTCTGCCAGTCTGTTTCTTTTAATTGGTGCATTGAGACCATTTACATTAATGGTTATAACTGTTATATATTGGTTTATTGTTGACATGTTTTCTTTCTGCTATTGCATCTTTGTCTTTCGGTTCTGTTTAATTGTCTGCTTTGTTTAGTGGTTTTTTCCTAGATGCATCTAGGCTGTATTTCAGTATTCTTTGCAGGGTTGGCTTGGTGATCATGTAGTTTTTCAGCTGTTCTTTGTCATGGAAGTATCTTATTTCTCCATCCATTTTGAAGGACAGTTTTGCAGGATACATCAGCCTAGGTTGGAAATCATTTTACTTTAGGATCTGAAATACTTCACTCCATGATCTTCTTGACTTTATTGTTTGTGCTGAGAAGTCTGCTTTGATTCTGATAGGTTTTCCTTTATAGATGATGTCTTTTCTCTCTTACAGCTTTTAATATTTAATTCTTTTGTTCGATTTCTGGGATGGCCATTACTATGTGTCTGGGTGTAGTTTTATTTTGATTGTGGCTATTTGGAGTTCTATATGGTTCACTGATCCTAATATTGGTTTCCAGTCTCATGTTTGGGAAATTTTCAGCAATTACTTCTCTAGATATCCTCTTGACATCCTTTATATTGTTCCCTTGTTTTTCATTTATCCCTATTAACTTATGTTGTTCCTTTTTGCGTCATCTTGCAGGTGTTGAATTGTTATTTCCTGATTCCTTGTTATTTTTAAAAGATCTTTCCTGTTCAATGGCTGCAATCTTGTCTTCAAGGTCTGAAATTCTATCTTCACATTCATTGAGGTGGTTTTTACAACTTTTGATGGAGTTTTTGATTTCCTGTATATCTCTTTGCATCTGCTTTATATATTGTTTGTTTCTTATATTGTTCATCCAGGGATTCTATCTTTTTATTTATCTCCTCAAGTTTTTTTTTTTAACTGTGTCTTCTTTAGATATGTTCAGCATCTCGTTCATTTCTTTTATCATTCCTTCTTTTACCTGAGAGATTATTTCTAGTTTGATTTCCTTTAAGGCTTCCCAGAGTTGCTTCTTTATTTCAGTTACTATTATTTCAGGTATGTGGCATATATTTTCTTCGATGCACATGGCTCCTAGGCTTTCTTGGGATGGGCTGGATGTTTGAGACTGCATTTTGGTCTTTCGTTTTGTCATTTTCCTATATTTTTGCACTTCAAGTTGTTCCAAGTGAAGTAGAGAGGTCAGCCAGGCTGGGACAGAGGTCCCTGCTCCCTCCTTACTTGCTGATTTCGACAGGAAGCCGAATCCTGGGCCCCAGGCAAAGAAAACAGTTTGCCAGCCTAGGGTGGGGTTCCCTGTCTCTGCTGGTCTTACTGGACCAACAGGGAACCAGAGGAGCCCGGCCTGCAGGCAAAGAGGAGAGTTCCACACCTCCACTGGACTTACACATCCTACAGACGGGGATCCTGGACCCCAGGCAGAGAAAACAGTTCGCCGGCCTAGGGCGGTGTTCCCTGCCTCTGCTGGTCTTACCAGACCAACAGGGAGCCGGAGTAGCCCGGCTTGCAGGCGAAGAGGAGAGTTCCACCTCTAGGTAATGTCTTAAGGACCCACCTTGAGACCACACTTGAGTGAAATAAAGTGGACACATGTGTTGAACTATCATTGCTTCCCTGATGTGACAAACTGAAAGTGGAATAAATAATAAAATGAAGGTTACATATTGTAAAATAGGAAAAAAAATGTCCAAATGAGGAAGGGAACTAGGGAGGAGGAGGGCATAATAGAAGAAAAGACAGAATCAAAGGAAAAATGGAAACAATGATTTTGTAATTTGGAAAGGAAAAAATGAAGCAAGAGAAAGGAAATAGGAAGAAAGATGAGTCAAGATCTACAGGTACAAATTCCATATGGTGGAGGGCAACATTATGTGTACATAAAATTTACCAATAAAATTAATCCAAAAACATTGAATACATCTAATGAGTCTTATTTATGATTTTGTATTTATATATAGTGTTCAACATTTTAATGAGGGTAAACATATCTTCTCAAATGTTTATCATGAAGCAAAGCTGAATTGGTATGGCAGATTCTATTCAACCAGCATCACTGCAATCCCCAAACTAGACACTGATACCACAAAAATATCAATCCAACATCTTAGGAAATATCAACATCAAAATCCTCAACAAAAATCACATCATGTAGTATCACAGGTGATTTAAAGCAACATTCAACCTGACAAAGTTGGGCACAATTAAGCTGAATCAATCAATCAAACAGAAGTGTTCAACGTAGTTAAGTCAATAAACATGATGCATGACATGGAAAGAAGGAAATAAACAATATGCAATTATCTCAATAGACTTTGAAAACACAATCTTTTAAATTTTATTTTAAACAGAAAAACAAATAACAATGAAAACCAGTTTCAAAACTAGGTAGTAAGACAGTTATAACACTTGATACATTGTGTATTGGTACCTTATAGTTATGCAGAGTACAGGATATTAGCATAATGTCTAAACAATATTAGCACAAAATATTCTTTTCAAGGAATAAACAGAAGCTAGCTATATAACTACCTTAATTATTTTGTATATAATATATATTTTTCCTTTTACCTATTCTTTCTTTCCTCTATCAATTTGTCTTTTCTTTTTAAGTTTCTTCCCAATTCACAATAACTACTGTACATTTTTTAATTTTAAATAAAAGAAAGAAAAAACAGAAAAATCAAGATGCAAACAAACTTTAAAACCAACAAAAGCAAAATGACAGGAACAACAACAAATAAACAGTAGCTATATAGGTTTTCAAAATAAGATGACAGTAATTTAGCAATGGTTGTTACACTGCATATTGTTATCTTCACAATATTTGCTTAGGTTACCAGAAAGAACAACAAAATAGTAAAATGAAACAAAACATTGGATTTCAAAAACAAAGCGGAGGGAAATTCCCCCCAGTGTCACAAGGTACATTAACATCCTCTAACTAGACAACGCCCAGACCACCAGCCCCAGGCCTGCAAAGTCAACCAAACAACATAAGAATCGAGCTGTCCTTTTAATATCAGCTGTGTTCATTTCACCCAGTCCTCAGGATCAGCCAGCTGCTTACAGGGTGGGAGATGCTCTTCTGGTTTTCCAGGCTGCGCATCTGTGGGTTCACAGGAGGGCATGCACCTCCTGCTGAGTAGTCTCCTCCAGATCCCCATGCAGACAGAAAAGGCATTCTTTTTTTTTTTTTTTTTTTAATTTAAGAGGAAAAAGAGAAAAACACAAAACAAACCAAAGCGGCGTAAGGGTACACGCAATACAGAACTACAAAACAAAACAAAACAAAACAAAACAAAAAACCATAACAGTAAGAAATTACCTGCTAGTAGATTACACACTATTTTCTTGAAAATAGTTCCTCAAATCACAGTATCAAAGAACACAAGGTGGACATTCAAACAGGGAGACTGCAAACAGCTGTGTTCAATGTTCCAAAAACATTGATAAAGTCAGCTATTTAACACCCCCAAACACACTTGCTGTTATATCCGTTAGAGCTCCTAGAAAAGGCATTCTTAAAGAATTAAAAACTGGAGTTTTAAAAATCTAAAGAAATTTGATAAAGACTAGTATATCCTGAAATAAAGAATGAACACACAGATAAGTAGAGACTGAGATAGTGATATATGACAAGTACACAAATAACATCCTGATGAATACAAAATGTTTAAATTTTGAGATAAAAAATATAAACATTTCCACTGTCATGTCCTGTATTAAACTTAAGTCTTCAAAATCCTAGGCAGATATAAAGAAAAAGAAAAAAATACACAAATTGAGAACAAGTCAAAGTCAGACAGAGTGGCAAATATCTCAGCCTTGTGAGACTGAGGCAGAGGGATTGCTGCGCTGAGCTACACAGTTAAAGCCAGCCTGAATCATGCAGTGAAAATGAATTAAAAAAAAAAGAACAAATTAAATTTTCCTGGTCTCCAGATGATATATTCGCTGATGCAGAAAATGATTCCACCAAAAAATCATATAATTGATGAAGAAATTTGGCAAAACAGAATGTCATTAACCTTAAAAAAACCAGTGATCTTTTAATATGCCTATTGAGAAATGCAAAATAAATATGTATAGAATTATAGGATAAAAATACTGTAAAATTTGAAGGACAGTATCAAGTAAAATTTGGATTTAAATGAAGAACAAAATATTGATAAATCAATCTGAAGAGGAAAAAATAATTTGAAAGACATTTCCGAGAGAAAGGATTAATATGCATATAGAAAACATTTCTGTTGGCTACACATTGCTGTGATGAATGTCTGAGATGAATTTATTAAAAACATGGACAGCATGTCAGAGCTTTGTGTCCAGTTTCTACAGCCCTATTAGTTTAGGACTGTTCTCTGTTGTCCCCTAAGAGGATACACAGCTAATGACATATGCTTTCCACTGATTGCGCACCATAAAATTTCCTGTGTCTTCAAGTAGTGCAGCATGCTGAGGACCAAACCTTCATCACAAGATTGAGTGACAGCCAGGTGCAGTGACTCCTGCCTGCAATCCCAGCACTCTAGAGCCAAGATCGATGTGAGTTTCAATCCCACCTGGACCGAGCATTTTCAAGGGTACCCTGCACTGCACAGCAAGAGCCTGTCTCAAAAACAAAAAAACACAAAGAAAAACAAAAAACATTTAAATGGAAGACAAAAAATAAAACCACTAACATTTGACACTAAATTACATAGATTTAGAAACTTTTTATTTTTTTGAGGCAGGGTTTCACTACACAGTTCAGGCTGGTCTTGAACCTGCAACGATCTCCTGCCTCAGCCTCCCAAATGCTGGGAGTATAGGCCTGTGCCATCATGCCCAGTGAACTTTTTATGACTGATGGAAAAACTATTCCTGTGTTTTAGAAACAGGGCCTTGATATGCAGGTAAGTATGTCATTGAACACATTCTGTAGCCCAGACTGGGTTTGAATTTATACTGACCCTCTTGTCTCTCTCTCCTGTGTGATTGGATCACAGGTGATCAGAAAGAGACCTGGAGTGCTAATATAATAACTATTTTGCATCTAAAACATAGAGAGGTCTAGAAAAATATCTCACTGGTAAAGTACATGCTTATTAGGAATGATTTCTGGTAATGTTTTCAGCATGGAAAAAAATAACAGATTTCTAAAGTTAACATTTTTCTGTAATTTTTACTTTTTCTCTGTTATAACCCAGAAAATATTTGTAATTCAGATTTCAAGGAAGACCTAAATTTGCAATATTTTATAACTTAACTATATTTGGAATAGGTATCAGTTCTGTTTTATAAGCACTGAAAATGTCTGAATATTATATACATACTTCAAACTTAAGTTCTTCAAAGATACAATATTGAACAAAGTGCTGCATTGAGATTTTAGAAAAAGAAAAATAACACAATAGGAGATGTCATGAAGGGAAAGTCAACAAATAGTCAAGATGTAAAAGTAAGGTGCACCACCTTTAATTTTGAGGTCCTATGAAGTAAATATTCAAAGGTAAATAACTACTAAGGAGCTTTTTTACGCTCATAAGTCATTGAGGATGTCAGTGCTGTTTCCTTTTTAAATATTTTTTTATCATTTTATGGGAAAAATTAAACAACTTCATTCACAAATAAAAGGAGAATAACGATGCACTGCACATTGATATTTCAAAGCACATACTCAGAGTATAAGACATGGGCATAAAATACTCCCTAAATGACAATAGTAGAAGTCTTTTACAAGAAGAAAAACTAGTAGTGTAACTGTCTTGTATTTTTTTTTCCTTTTACCCTTCCTTTCCCCATTCCCACATCTTACTTCCTCTTTTCTATGGAACAACTTCCCACTTCACAATATCTATTGTAAATTTTGGCCCTTATTTACAGTTTCAATTTCTCACCTCAGTGAGTTAATATGATGTTTAAACATTGAGTCACATTTATTTCATTTATGGGTATAATCTCAACTTGAATCCACTTAGCTATAAAGTCTCAAGTTTATCCTTGATTATGGCTAAGTAGAAAGTACTTCATAGCATGAAAACACCATAATTTATCCATTCTTTGGTTGATGGGCAATTGAGTTGTTTTCAAGATCTGGCTATTGGGGCTGGGGATTTAGCTCAACGGCATAAGCACCTGACTTGCAAGCAGGCAGTCTTGAGTTCAATCCCTGGTAGTGATTAAAAAAAAAAGATCTGGCTATTACAAATTATGCTGTGATAAACATATGTGCACATATATGACTATGGTATGATGTTTTTAATTTTTCCAGGAAGACACACAGATGGGGAATAGGTGAGTTGACAGGGACCTCTAATTCTACTTTTTAGAAGAAAATCATACAAATTTCCACAGTGGTTACACTAATCAATACTCCCAAAACAGTACAGAAGGGTTCCTTTTTTATCCCCACAGCCCCTCCAGCATTTCATATTGGTTTATTTCTTGATGACAGCCATTCTTTCTGGAATCAAATGGGATCTCAGTGTTGTTTTCATTCCACATTTCTCAAATGACCAATGATTTGAAATGTTTTCTCGTATCAGTGTCAGTTCTCCCATAACAGTGTCAGTTCACGGTTTGTTTCAAGTTGAGTACTATACGGCCAACTAAATTTGCCCAGCAAATTATGGACGGGGAAGACCTAAGATTTGTTGACAGAATGTCATAAAAAAAAAAAAAAAAACAAAGAAAGGCTTCCCATGTGCATTTGTGGAGGAATTCCGGTGTTCACTCTCACACTGGAAGCCATCTCCTGGCTTCCAGCACTGGCTTTTCAGCCTATAGGACAGACCATTTAGTCTTATGGCACAGACACTTCAGTTTCTGACACAGATTCAAGGGAGCACAATTGTGGGTTCCAGGACTGGAACTGGATTGTTTGGATATCCAGTGCACAGACAGACTGTTTATATCCACATCTGAGCGTGTGTACTGACACTGCAAGACATTCTTATATAATGGAATATCTCACATTAAAACTGCTTCTCTAGTAAGTGATAACTGATAAACTATTACAGTTCAAGATAACTTTATTACACAGGGTATAGTTCATCTGATGTGTTTCAAGCAGAAACACATAGCAGTATCATCTGCTGTATAAATTGTGGTAAAATAATCACCAAATTCAAGTTATAACAATATAAGCATGAAATATAAAATGTTGATTGTAAGAAAACATTTTCTGTAAATCATGATACTGATACCAACAGGAAACAAAATAGGTGAACTGATGTGTCTTATATAATTATGTTGGGATATAAACAGGTATCTAGTTAGGACATAAAAAATACATTTGGTGATCCACAAGCTGTGTGGAAAAATATGAACTTTTTTTTTTGTATTTTTACCAGTACCAGAGATTGAACTCACAACCACATGCTTGCAAGGCAGGCGCTTATGCTGCTGAGCTAAATCCCCAGCCCCCAAAATATGAACTTTTAAAAATACATGTCTCTAAATATGTATACATTTACAAATATATCACCAAACTAAAGCTATCTTTTTGTATATAGAATATGAATCATACACAAGACATTTAAATTAAGGCTAGTAGGAAATCCCAGTTAAAAAGTATTAAAATTTATTTTTTATCAGACTATACCTCACCATATTAGCTATATCATCAGTCTCAAAAATATGTTATGTCAATATTGTTTCTAGGAAAGACTACGAAGTTCAGTTTTTAAGTGACTTTTCTAAAAAACACAAAACACATTCTAGAAGAATGGGAGTGTATTTTCTTAAAAGTCCATGAAGAAATACTGACATCAAATTTTACATTTCAATGTGTACAAGTCTCCATTACAGGAGGAATTTTCACCCTTTTTTCCAAATAGGCTTACATATATAGGGTCACTCTCCAGTGAATTCTTTCACGTAGTTGATAAAAAATGTGTTCACTGAATTCTTTCTCCACATTGTTGATTTACATAGGGCTCCTCCTCAGGGTGAGTTCTATGTATACAAAATGAGGAATTACTAGCAAATCTTTTGCCCAATGGCTCATATGCATATGGTCTTTTGTCTGTGTGAGTTCTTTCATGTATTTGACAAGATTGGTGTGTAGTAAATGTCTTTCCACATAGTTTGCACAGATAAGGTTTCACCCCAGTGTGACTACTTTCATGTCTTTTACAGCTACTCCTTTGAGTGAATGCCTTCCCGCATTGCTTGCACACGTAAGGTTTCTCCCCGGTATGAGTTCTTTCATGTTTTTGACAAGACTGATGTGTAGTGAATGTCTTCCCACATTGCTTGCACACATAAGGTTTCTCCCCCGTGTGAGTACTTTCATGTCTTTTACAACTACTCCGTTGAGTGAATGCTTTCCCACATTGCGTGCATACATAAGGCTTTTCCCCTGTGTGAATTCTTTGATGTCTTCTGTATCCATTCCTAATAGTGAATGCTTTTCCACAATGCTTGCACATATAAGGTTTCTCCCCATTGTGAATTCTTTCATGTATTTTACAGTAAGACTTTGTATGGAATGCTTTTCCACATTGCTGGCACATAAAAGGTTTTTCCACAGTGTGAGTGCTTTTATGTCTTTGACAATCATTGTGTGTAGTGAATGCTTTTCCACATTTCCTGCATATATAATGTTTCTCAGCAGTGTGAGTTCTTTCATGCACTTGACAATATTGGTTTGTCGTGAATGCCTTCCCACACAGTTTGCAAACATAAGGTTTCTCCCCAGTATGAGTTCTTTCATGTCTTTGCCTTTTACTGGGTGTAGTGAATGCCTTCCCACACTGTCTGCACACATAAGGTTTCTCTCCAGTGTGAGTTCTTTCATGTCTTTGACAATCATTGAATGTACTGAATGCCTTCCCACATTGTTTACAACCATGAGGTTTTTCCCCAGTGTGGTTTCTTTCATGTCTTTGACAATGACTCTGTGTAGTGAACGTCTTTCCACATTGCTTGCACACATACAGTTTCTGGCCAGTGTGAATGTTTTCATGTATTTTGGAATAAGTCTTTGTAGTGAATGCTTTTCCACACTGGTTGCACACATAAGGTTTCACTCCAGTGTGACTGCGTTCATGTCTTTGACAAGAGTGGTGTGTAGTGAATGCTTTCCCACATTGCTTGCAACCATAAGGTTTTTCCCCAGTGTGAGTTCTTCCATGTACTTGACAATCATTCTGAGTAGTGAATGCTTTCCCACATTGTTTGCACACATAGGGTTTCACCCCACTGTGAAGTCTTTTGTGTTTTTGACAATTATTATGTGTACTGAATGCCTTTCCACAGTGCTTGCACAAGTAAGGTTTCAGTCCTGTGTGAATTCTTTCATGTATTTTGGAATAACTCTTTGTGGTAAATGCTTTTCCACATTGCTTGCACACATAAGGTTTCATTCCCATGTGATTTCTTTCATGTACTTGACAAGATTTGTGGGTAGTGAATGTCTTCCCACATTGCTTGCACACATAAGGTTTGTTTTCCATGTGAATTCTTTCAAGAACTTCACAATTTTGAGTGTGGCAGGTTTTTTCATATTGCTTGCATTCATATGGTCTCTTCCCAGAGTGAATTCTTTCAGTGATCTGAGGACCAGTGCGGGTGCTGGAGGCTTTCTCATTTTCCTGATCAACAACTATCTTCTCTTCAGAGTGAGCTCTTTCACTAAATTCAGAGTAGGATTTCATGCACTGCTCATGTTGATAGGGTTTCTCTCCATTCTTTGTCCTTGCATGCTTCTGAAAGCACTGGAAATCACTGCAGGGTTTTCTATGTTCATTATATTTACTCAGTTTGTCATCAAATCCCAAATACTCACGTGGCTTTCCTCCAGGGTGAGGTAAGATGGGCATATTCAGTGATAAATGCACAATCAGGGGCTCTCCACAAACAAAACTTTCGGCTGGATTTAAAGCAGATTTTGTCTTGTCTGCATTAACATTTGAAGGCCAAAGGTATACGTTTTTATGTTGATTGCAAGTTTTACATTGATACCACATTGCTACCTCTTCATTTCTGTACAGAAATAAAATATTAATCACGATAAAAGTATCTCCATATCAATAATTTAGCAGCACAAATTCTGGCTCACTGCCTTCTAAGAAATTTTCAGAAATATTTGGCTGGAGGATGACTGCACAACATACACTTCCCAAAGGACGATATTTGCTGGGAATTTTAAACTGGTTTTGTAATAAGTAAGATCAAGTTTCATTTAAGTCATTTATTCTTATGTATATAACAAAGTGCTCATTTTTGAAGCCTTATCACAGCCCTCTATCCTTCTATCTCTTCTTAATTTTACTCCCTATTTTATAGTTTAGAATCTTATGTAATAGAAAACACATGATAATTCATTGTGTGTCTGACTTACTGCATTTAACATTGTGAGGCAGAGTGTTGCTTTTTGTGCTGATAAATAAATTAAGAGTCTGAGCAATAAAGTACATTTTTAGCTTTTTCACTTATGATTTTGAGAGAAATTTCCATTGATCACTCATGTGATATCAGCGTGAACTTCATGAAGTCACCCTGCCGGTTCAGCTTACCAGAGTGCTTAGAGTATAAGAAGGCAAAACAATGTTGAGACTATGCCACCTCCTCACTTCCGAAGAACACAGTGACAGACACCTAGATTCTTACCAGAGTTTACATATTGTGAATTATCACAGTTATCTTCTGTGAATACCCATGTAGACCCTGCTTTGAGCATAAGTATAAATGTATAACTAAGACATTATACATGGTAAGGGTGTTTGTAAGAACTTTAAAACATGAAGGAACACAACCCTCTGGAGGATGCTTCCAACATTTATTAAAACATCAGCATTCATATGCATTTTGAATATTGCTTCCAGATTAGCAATTGTTTATATAACCCATATCTAATATATATATGAGTTCCTGATGAACTTAATATTTATTCTTTTTTATGTGTCTATATATAAAAACTAAAGGCAACTTCATACGTTTTCATGATGTTGATCATGAAAGAACATCTTCATTCCAATGTATGAGGTAATGTTTCTTGTTGCATGTCACTACTGACTTAGTTTCCTGATATGGAATATCTTTCTATTCAATTATCAGGTTATACAACATCAACCTGTATGCATATCAGTAAAATATATGATATTAAGTAAATTTAAACATGACCTTATTTATAAAGATTCCTTGTAATATTTCTGATCACAGGCACTGTTGAGAAGCACTGCTTTTCCTTATGAATGCCAATTACCTCAGCTTTCTTGAATAATTTCTGAATCCTTTTTCCATTTGCTGGCTGTCCCAAGTCCTTCCTGGATTGTAGCCATAGAAACACAAACAGTCACCATATCATTATATAAAAATTAGAAGCAGCAGTTAGATTCATGGTATAATGTTAACAAGACTAATATACTATTCAAAATAATTTTTATTCTATTTAATGAATCTGTACCCATCAGCAAGAACAAATTATCTCTAACTGTAATATGAGAAAATGATGTCTTCCTTACCTATAGCGTTTATATTCTTAAATGTTTCCCACATCACATCTCTGTAGAGCTTCTTCTGGGATGGATTCAGCAGAGCCCACTCCTCCTTGGTGAAGTTCACGGTTACATCCTCCAAGCTCATTGCCTCCTAAAGAATCACATATATTTTTCCTGAAAGAAGGTTCACACTCATACCCTGAGAACTTGAACTCCTTCAAATAAAAATTCCATATCTACACTGTTTCTCTGTGCTACAATAAAAGCAAATTAGGAAGCACTGGTTGACTGGGAGGGTTACTGAAATTATATCGTGGACTATTTCCAAAGTGAAGCTCATAGAAGTAGCCTCCAAATCACAATTTCCAGAAAAAAGCAGGCAGAAAAGTATCGAATGAAGGGTTGCGACAGACAACAGATTACACCTCTTTTGACATCAGACTTCTCATATAATTGAGACATTCTTTCTTAAGTGGCATATAATCAACATTTTGAAAACTGAAGTTTTTTTTGGAAAAACATTAATTGAACATTACACAAAATATACACATTTCATTCCTTTTGCATTTTCACATCACAGAAACCAAGTGATATTTATATTTGTGTGTCCACTTTGTTTCACTTGACAGTGTGTTTTCTAGGTATAAACATTTAGCAAATAGTTTCTCAAATTATCCTCCTCTATGGCAGAGTAGTTTGCCATTGTTCAAAAAACTATCACATCTTTTTTTATCCATTCAATAGTGGATAAACTTTTGGGCTGTTTTCAAGTTTTACCTATTGCAAGCTATGCCTGTATAAATATGAGTGTATATTTATCATGGTGGTGTGGTGTTTTTAATTTTTTTACGGAGAGATCAAGAAAGGAAATAGGCAGGTATTGAAATCATGACTTTGCAAATGCCAGGTAGCCACTTGTGCAGCTGAGCTAAACTCCTAGCCCTTGCCCTTGCTTTTTATGTGCTATAACATATTTATTAATTATGTATGTTTCACCTTTCCTGCATCCCTGGAAAGGGCCCTAATGGGTCATATTTTATGATGATTTCCTGTATTCTGTTTGCCAGATGTTCTTGAAGATTTTGACATCAAAGCTCTTCAAAGAGACTGACTTCCAGTCTTTTGTTCAGTTGGGTCCTTTTCTGGAATTGAATTCAGGATAATGCTTGCTTCCCGATTGATTTTCAAAGTAGGTCTCCCCTTTCAATATCATTTCTATGTGGAGTATTGTCAATAAAGGCCAACACTCACAACATACTGAAGACTTAACTATGCCTTTCACAAAATTCTCTTCTAAACTACTATGCATGTTATGTGCTGAACCATGAGCAACTTCTTTCTTTCTTTTTCTTTGTTTCTTTTATGGTAGCAGGGCTCAAACTCCCAGCCTTGTGCTTACCAGGGAAGTGCTTAAGCCATTGAGCTAAATCCCCAGCCCCTATGAGCAATTTCTTAACGAAAATGATGGGCCCAAAATTTAACACAGCACCAAGAGTTTCCCCAACCCTGACAAATGCAGAACTAAGCACAATTAAAATGCTTCAAGAGTATATTGCAGACTGAAGCACATGCTGCTGTATTTACCATGAGCTATCACCCTGAAGTTATCAAAGGGTAACATTCTAACATAATAGGGTGAGTCACCCTATTATGAAAAATTAAGATATTTTGTGAAGGGGCTCACAATAAAGGGTTAATGCTTCCTCTGTTCAAGAAATTACAATAATCATAGATCTCCACTCTAGAATCACCAAGAACAAATTTTCAAAACTAAATTATGTGGCATAGACAACTAATCACAAATTCACATCCATATATCTATATCTGGAAGATTCCAAGGATATTTCTCAGAATTGTTCTATTTTCAATAGATACAAATTATAACTTTTTTGATATGAAGCGAATTGATGATTTTTTACCTTATGCAAGCACAGTGGCTTTGGTATATTGGTATGAGTATTAAAATATTTACCCCGACTTTCTCCAAAATAGACCACATACTAACCCTTAGAACTGTGTAAGTAAATGAAAAGGAATTGAAATTATCACGCACATATTATAGGATTATAGTGCAATGAAAATGGAAATCAAGAGCAAAAGAAACCACAAAAGACATGGAAATTAAATAACACTCTACTAAACAACAAATGGATCACAGATACAATCAAAGCTGAATTAAAGAGAATCTACAATTAAACAATAATGCCAATACAACATATCTCAACTTATGTGACACAATGAAAGTCCTAAGAGAAAAATTTATAGTGATGAAGACCCATACCAGGAAGACAGAATGAGCTCAAATAGACAACCTAATGTTGAATCTTAAACTTCTAGAAAAAGAACAACTCAAGCCCAAAACTCAGTAGGGAAGGACTCATAAAAATCAGAGTATAAATTAATGCAACTGAGATTAGGAAAACAATACAAAGAATCAATGAATTGAGATTATAAATAAAATTGATAAACCCTTAATCAACTGTATCAGAAAAGGGGAAACCTCAAAATAATGCAATTAGAATAAACAGGGTAAAATCACAACAAATCCTGCAGAAATCCTGATGATCATCAATACTTAATCTGATGTTTTATTCTAATAAAATGGAAAGCAAAAACCAAATAAGAGATTTATATACATATGAAGTACCAAATCAAGAGGACATAAAAATTCTAAGTAACCCAATATTAGTTAATGAAATTGAAAACATAATTTAAAAAAACCTAACAACAAAGAAAACCCCAGGACCTAATAGATATATACAAAGCAGAATTCTAAAAAAATTTAGAGAAGATCTACAGTCCTCACTCCAAAAACTGTTCAATGAAATGAAAAGCAAAGCAATACTCCCAACTCATTACTAGAAGCAAATATTACCAGGATTTCAAAACCAGAGGAAGATTCATCAAAAAATGAGAACTACAGGCCTATCTCCCTAATGATCTCTGATGCAAAAATCCTCAACAAGATACTGGCAAACAGAATGCAGGAAATCCACAAGATTATACACCATGACCACTTAGAATTCATTCCAGGGATGCAAGGTTGGTTAGAAATGCAAATCAATTAATGTAATATAACATATAAACAGAGCAAAGGAAAAAAATCACATGATCATCTCAACAGATGCAGAAAAAGCATCTGACAAAGTCTAACACCCATTCATGGTAAAAATACTGCAGAAAACTGGAGCAGATGGTCTTTATCTAAATCTGATAAAAATCACCTGTGACACACCAAAAGCCAACATCATGCTAAATGGTCAAAACCTTAAAGCTTTCACTCTAAAATCAGGAACAAGACAAGAATATTCAGTATTCCAACTACTATTCAGTTCACTATCACCAATCATATTCGGTATAGTTCTGGAAACATTAGTGGGAGCATGTAGAAAAGAGAAAGAAGTAAAAGGATTAAGAATAGGAAAGCAGCTGGGGATTTAGCTCTGTGGCATAAGTGTTTGCCTTGCATGTGGCACAATCCTGAGTTTGATCCCCAGTACAAAAAAAAAAAAAAAAAAAAAAAAAAAGAATAGGAAAGCAAGAAGTTAAATTATTTGCAGAAGACATTATACTCTACCTAGAAGACCCCCAAAATTTCACCATAAGATTTGTATATTTAATAACCCAATTTAGTAATGGAGCTAGATACAATAAAAAATTAATACCATTTCTTAGTAAATAACAAATTTACTAAGAGAAATTAGGGAAACAATCCTTCAAAATAGCATCCAAAAAAAATGAAGCATTTATGAATCAATCTGACAAAGGAAGGGAAATATGAATACAATGAAAGTGGTCATTCCACCAAAATTGTTATAAAGATTTCATGCAATCTCAATCAAAATACTATTTTCAGACATCACAGAACTAGAGAAAACATTAATAAAATTTATTTAGAACCAGAAGAGACCTACAAGAGCAAACATATAACTGGGAAACAAAAGACAGGGTGCATCGCAATCCCTGACATGAAATTATAGTACAAAGCCACTGTGATACAATCAGCATTGAACTGGCAAACAAACAGACAAAACAAAACAAAACAAACCCGAGGAGTGGAACAGATCAGAAGATGTAGACTGAACTCCAAACACACTCCGCCATCATATCGTGGACAAAAGGGCCAAACATGTTCACTGGCAGGAAAACAGCCTCTTTAATATAAACAGCATTTTCCATGGGTCAAAATCAAACTAAATCCATGTCTGATCCCATGCACTAAAGTAAAAATAGATCAAAGCTCTAAATATTGAAATAGAAACCCTAAATCTACTAGAACAGAAAGTAGGTAGAAATCTTGAAGATATAGGTGTAGGCAAAGACTTCATGAACAAAACCAAGCCCACACAGGAAGTACTACAAAGAATCAACAAATAGGATCTCAACTTACTGAAAGCTATTCCACAACAAAAGAAATCACTGGCAGAGTGAAAATACAACCTACAGAGCGGGAAAAAATTTAGCCACACAAAGAATTTACATCTAGAACACATAAAGAGTAAAAAAAAAAAAAAAAAAATCAGATCCCACAATTAAAATACCCAATCCAAAAAATGGGCATCTGCAATGAGTTGAAAAAACACTAATGGCTAATAAAAGTATTAGTGGGAGTGTAAACTGTTGCAACCACTGTGAAAATCAGTATGGAAATTCCTGAAAAAACTAGGATTAGACGTCCCACTCAACCCAACTTATTCTTGTACTGAGTATCTTCCTGGAAGAATTAAACACATCATATCATAGGGATATATGTGGATAAATGTGTATAGCAGCAAAATTTGTAACAGCTAAATCTTGGAAACAATACAAATGCCTATCAACTGAGGAATGCATATAAAAAAGTGGTCTTTTTATACAATGGTATACTACTCAGTCATAATGAAGTATAAACTTGAGACTTATATTTGTAAACGGTTGCAACTGGAGAGCATACTCATAAGTGAAATAAAACAGACTCACCTGTGTAAACATGGTATTACTGTCTCCTTCCTATAAGAAACCGAAAACATAAATAGGATGGGAAACCTACAATAGCTATTCTGAGAAGTGAAGAAATTGTTCATGAGGAAAAAGGAATTAGGATGGGCAAAATGAGAGAGAAAGAAAGGAAAAAATATAGTTATACTAACTGTTCCTCTTAATTTACTGAAAAGAAAGTTTTATGCCAATATCATTTGGAGAATTTTTTATGCCCATATATTGTACTCTGATCATCTAGTTGAAAGATGACAATACTTAGTGTACTACCTGTTATTGTCCTGTTATATTGTTATGAAATTTTATTTTACTGTTTTCAAAAAAAAAAAAAAAATCTACCCCAGTTGGGCTTCATATATCTGTAATAACACCAGTCTATGTCCATACCATCCTGAACATGCCCAATCTCATCTGTAATAATACCAGTCTGGGTGACTGAGGCAAAAATCACCAGATATATTTTAAGACCTAGACTAGCCAAAAATAGTGAAACTCTGTTGTTCCTGAATTAAAAATCTAATAACAATTATAAAAATGGCTACTAGACCACAAAGCAGAGCTTCTGTGTTCAGTGTACACACACACATTCACAAGCTATGTAAACTATTCTATGTTGAAAAAGTACCCTTTCCATCACACTTAGAAAACTGTGTCACCCAATTTTAACCAAAAACAAGGACACAACATTTGGGTCTCCAATTTTGCCTAAAAAATAATCAGGTAAACTTAGGGGATAACATAAAGTTTATTAATGTAAAGTTTTTCTCAATTTCAGTCTACATTAAGCTTATATTCTCTAACTGACTGTCTACCAGAGCCAGTGTACAACATCTTGAATGTCTGCATAGAAACTTTCTGACATCAAGGGAAAAAACTGCTGGGCATGGTGGCACACTCTGTAATCCCAGTAGTTGGAAGGTTGGAGCAGGCAGATTGTGGCAAGTTTGAGACCAGCCTGGGCTACAACATGAGCTGAAGGCCAGCCTGAACTGCACAGTGAAACCCTGTCTCAAAAAGACAAAAAAAAAAAAAAAAGAAAATTTTTTTAAGATCTAATTTTGCAACCATCGTTTGTTATGCCCTCTACCTGCATTCTACATACTTCTATTTTCTCCTCTGTACATAAACACAAACAAAACCTTTTATGCTTAAAATTCCAATGCTTGCACACTTTCATTTGAGTTTTTAGTCTACTGTATTATTGCTTTTATACATATTCCTGCTTCAATCTTCCTTTGAGTAAAAAAAAAAAAAAAAACATGTCTGCACATTTTTCAAAAACTACAGGAACAATGTGAGAGACGGTGCCTGTCTGTCCTTCCAGTCATACCCAAATCACATGACCAGGTCACTGCTCATCTTCAAAGACATTCTCACTTGTGCTTAGCCATGCACCCAGCTCTAAAAGTTGTGCTGTGGAGAAATCTTCCATTCCTGAACTGGTACTTTCCCTCCCTTATTCCTGGCTTTCTAAACTCTATGGTGAAAGTGTGATGAATTAATTGATTGACTGCATTGTTAGAAATGTAACACTGGAGTTTAAGGCTACTTGGGAAGTGCTCTACCATGTAGTCTCAGCACCAGGAACCTTAAACATTTCTCCAGATCCACCCTCTTTATTTATAAACATTCTCTAATTTGGTAATGTGTGAACATAATTGGAAATTGAGGAATTAATTGTTATTACAATGAAGTCCAGGATTGGGAAGACAGCTTGTGAGAGGGTCTGTATCCTAAACTTTTGTCCAACTCATCATTGCAAGCTTTCTTATCCTGTCACAGGGACAAAACACTAGATACAACTTAAGAGAGCATATATATTGTCTATATCCAACTGAACTTATGCCATATATTGGCTCAAATATTCAAACTAAGACAAAATAATGCTTAAGGAGTATCGCAGTGGAAAATCTACTGAACGTACCACAGTTAAGTAGAAAAAAATGGCAGGGGCTGGGGACAAGAACATACTTTCTCACCATGTGTCCCAAAAGAAATCCTTCCAGCCAGGTCTCATCATCTTAGAGCACATTCAGTGCACTTATCAAAGGACTAAACCAAAAGCTGTGAAGTCGATATAATCCAACCACGATCCAAACAAAACTGTATGTAGGCGGTATTTTAGACATAAACCACAGCACAAGGTTTCCTGTGGGAAGAAGAGACAAGGGACACATGACACACAGTGTCATTCAAACTCAAATACCACACATGAGTCAACAGATCCACAAATACTGTCCAGTTTTCAGTGTACACTCTCATGAGAAGTGACCCAGTTAGCGCTCAGCTGTCCATGACAGGGCCATGGGCATGCTTCTGCCACCTCACATGCACAGCACAGGATGCGAGGACCTGGTGGTTTCTCAGCCTCACCCTCAGACCCAGAAAAGAACCAGAGCATAAGGCAGCAGCTGATGTACAGGAATAAGGCTTCACAGTTGATGTGATTTGGTCTAATTCCTCGAAAGCTCCTTCTGTCTATATCCAACTGAACTTATGCCTCCACCACATACTCCACTCCTAGGGTCACCATCACCACTCCCAGGAGTTCTCAAAGCCCTGCCCATGGAACCAGCAGTCAGTGAATCTCAGAGAGCCACGCAGTGTGAGCCAGCCAAGCTGCCTTTCAGTAGCACACTGGGAGCTTTGACTTGGGTTCCTAACAGAGGAAAAGTCCTCATTCTGGATGTCCAGTGTGCCTGACTGGACAGTTTAGAGAGAGCCAGCCTTTATTTCTGATGTATTGCCGCTCCATTTCCCACCCTCTCAGCTGAAAAAGACATTAGAAAATGCACACTACCTCACTGAAAGGAATCCAATGACAGCCTCTCACCAAAATGCTTCCAAACACAGGCTTCCTGCCTAAATACAGATTTCATCCAGAATGAAGTTCAGTGTCATTGAAGCAGAATTGGCACCTACATGTCTAGAGCTGCTGCTGCTTTCTTACTGAACTCAATAGGCTCTTCCTGAGTGTTGTTTCTGCAAATCTGTCCACAAATACAGTCCTGTACATCCAGACTCTAAGTCACATGATGAAAACCCTGTACCCAAAGAAGAACTAGACTGCAGGCAAGGGTAGGACAAAACAGAAGAGAAGGAAAGGTTTAAAGTTGTCAGAGGATAGAAATATAAACAAGGTACTTGACTTTGCTGTACAGTCTTTTCCATACCTTTTTCCTTACTTTACTTATTTTCAGAAAAAATTATAAAAACACATGAAAAAGAAATTATAATATCTAATAAATAACAAAATTATATTTTACATTACCAGTATTGTCCAAAATGAATCAAGATGAACGAAAAGGAAACACTTTTACTGTCTCAGACAGGCAACCTACTTCATCCAATATCACAAAAACCTGAATTCTGAATACTGGGCACGTTCCTCATGAGGACCACAATGATTGCTGAAAAGCAGCACCACTCTCAAATCGGCTCCTTACAATGAGGCAGGGTCACAGTAAACTTTGTAGTAGAACTTCCCGAACTCAGTTTGAAAGCCTCTCTCCTCTATCCAGTAGTTTCACAAAAACTATCCGGTCCTATAACACGTCATCTTGATGATCAGCCTGACTGCCTTGACAGATGACAAGGATATCAGTAAGGCAAAAACCTTCAAACTATCTGCACACGATGCAAACTATCTGCATCAACTTCAAACTATTTGACACCTTCTTCCCATCACTCTGCAGTCTGTTACAAACAGCTGTCCTTCTAGAGCTGTTTTGTGCATAGAGGGTACAAGGATGGTCTGCGGCCCATGATGTGACAAGAAGTACACTGCCATACATTTGCTTTTCCAAATGAACCTCTTTCTAGTCACCAGGCTTAAGTTCCTGTTTCTAAGTCCAGGATATTCACCTATATTAAGAAAACATTCCTAAATTGAATGACACAAAGATTCTCAATTCAAATCTATAAGGAAGAGGTGACACTGCCTTACTTCTGAGTTCACACATGAAGGAAAACATATTGTGAGATATTAGAAAACAGAACTGGGATGGCAGCACAATAGGACAGTGCACGCATGAAGCCCTGGATTCAATCCTCCCTCATATTGGAATTTCAAAAAAAAAGCAAACAAAAATGCCAGAAAAGTTGCTTTCAAATGACAAAATATACAGATCACATAATCAAGTATGAATTATCCATTTTTTCCTATGCATGGGTGATCCCCTCACCATTCTAGTTGAATTGTGTCACAAGATGCTCTGCCTAGGATCTTAACAAGTTTTGTTTACCTTTTTAAAAAACTGTAACTTGACTCCTGCACACTAGTCCACCCCCTTTAATCATGTCTTTCAAAAACAGCACTTTAGAATCACCTCTACTTTTCAAAAAGTGGCATTGCCCTAATGTCACATGCTCCTGCGGAATAATTGCATTTTTAAATTTAAGCCACCCAGGTGAAGCTGTGTAACAGGACATATGGTGATGATTTAGGTCAATACTAGTGACTTTTCTGTATGATCTGTCAAGTGACAGAAGGTAGAAAAACATACAAATATTAAATTACTGGATCATAGCCTAGAGACTGTAACCTATAAACTTCTAAGATGCTTGAGATCTCTCTAGAGAAAATCCTGTTTTATATCCTAATAATATGCTCAAAGGATAGTAAAACTGACATGCACAAAGACAAAGAAATGTTTAAAAGGTGAAATGTTAAAACTACTTTAGTGTGTAACTATTCAGATCATTTCACTTGATCTGTGTAAGGGGAAAAAAGAGAACTGACAATAACTTAAACACAAAGAGTTCATTAAATTTGTAATAAACAAAGCCTTCTTCAAAAACCCTTAAACAATGTTCTAACCAAAACTTTCAAGTTGCTTAATCCTGATAGCCACAAATATTTGGAGATTTCCAGACAGAAAAACTGAGATCTAAACTGTTCTTCAACTATACATTCAAAAAAGCAAAAACACTGAGTTCTATGATTCATTCCAGCAATTCGAATAAAAAAACAAGAGGGAAGATTGTGAGAATGTCTCTTTGGCCATGCTGGGTAAAAGCAGGTGATACAGGAACACAAATTTGAGTAGTCTAAGATCTAAACAAGTTCTATGGGAACTGTACAAGCACAATTATGATCTCAGAATGTAACTTCAGATGTCAGAATTCAATGGAATTATTAGAGATTTATTCCTGTCTCCAAACCTGATACACTTGTTTCAGTAGGCACAGAAAGAAATTGCAGTACACATTGGTTGGAAATGCTATAAGTAAAATCAGTGCTATTCATCTCTCCTTGTGTGTGAAATTTGGCAATTCACCAGAGTTCAGGCCAAACACACTACCCCACTATAAATTTCTGGGTCTGCCTCCAAACCTGTGTCCCTCAGAGTGCGCATTTTAAGCAGCTAGGACAAACCATATCCAATGAGACATTTGGCCATGAAGTTGTACTTAACCTCACTGCTGCATACACCTGCTAAATTTTTCACAATATGTATGTCAACTGATGGGAACTTTATCAAGTATCAATGACACTTGCAGCTATAGAATCAAATGAGTCCATAAGGATTATCTACAAGATTACTTAGATGTTCAGAAGAGCACATTATCCAAAAGATTAAATTACCTCTGAAAGAGTTGACACTGTAATATTACACAAATTCCAACTGAATATATTAAAAATATTTGGTTTTCAAATTGGAATTTCTTGTCTTCTAAGCTCTGGAGGCTTCCTAGCCAGCCCATGAACACATAGCTCTTTGCACACAGTGACCTTGGTGAGTGCACCAGAATTCATTCTTCCTGACCAGCAATAAGCAATGGTCAATGAGGACATATGATAAGTAAAGCAGCCACAGTGTCCCTGTGGAGTGAACAGAACACTACAGGAACCAAGTTCTGTATCTGAGGGCACAGGTGTGTCTTTTGTCCCATTTTAGCAGTGTGAAATGAGAATGTTTATTACATTTCTCTATTGGGTGATTCACCAAGAGTATCAATTCAAATACAAGTAGAGCTCATGAGGTCATTATGAAGCATTATGAATCTAGCGCACAATATGTCCTGCACATGAGAACTGCATTTTTTCTAAGTGTAGGACAGTAGACTACAGACACAGGGTTGGAACTTAAACGGCATGCAGGAGGAATAATTCCAGTGTTGGAAGGCATATGATAAAGTTTAGAACAGTAAAAAGAGTGCGTATAATCAGCATAAATTAAAAGTGGAAATGGAAATGCTTTCCCTTCAACCTTGCATGTGCTTTGTGTCTTGTATTTTAACTACTCAGCCCTATAACTTTCATTGAAAATTTCCATCCTATTGCGTTGTCCTGGTGATATAATCCAAAGAATGCAACCCCAAGTGGGGCAGCTCTTTATAAAATGGAAAAAAAAAAAAAAAGCAAAGCATATTTCCCCCTTTCCAATTATACTGTTTCCCTAATTTGGTTGCTCAAGATAAATGATTAATGAACATTCAAAACAAGAAACAGCCTGATGAATGCCATGCTCAACTGTACACTATACAAAGTTTGAAGATGCCTTTACTGATGCTACTTGATTTACAAAGGGAAAATATTTTTATCAACCTAAAGGCAACTGAAAATAAAATATACTGAAAGGTATAGAATATAAGCAAACATCAGTGTTAAACCTTGGATCTTTTAAACCTGTCTTGATGATCATTTGGGGAATTTTATGTAACAGAAAGCAATATTGATAATAAAACACTATATATCTCATGCGTGTTATTTCACAGAGTACACTTCTGTTTCTGATTAAGCAGGACTCATTACTGCTATCCACCACCAAGAGGGAGTACTACAGTATGTGCCACTAGGTTTGATCAGTGAGTATACAGCAAAATTAAAAGTAAGATTGGCACTAAATATTTTTCATTTGCCCTGCATCACTGGAGATTCACTCGGGTTTCTCACACATTATACCAGTTTAGAGTTGAGGCACACCCCCAAAACATTCCATTTAGAAAAATAGTCTTGGTCACTTATTCAGCTTGGTGAGTTCATACTCTTGTCTAAGTTTCCCAAGCAGCTGGAATTAAAGTTGTGCACTACCAAGCCTACTGATGTTTACTGAGATCTAGGCTAAATCATGGTGATTTAAGAACATCAGCCTCAAACTAGCAAGGTGACACATGTCTGTGCTCCCAACAGGAAAGGAGGTGTAAACTATTAAAATGTCTTGCAAACCTTGGCAACTTAATAAGATCTGGACTCAAAAAGTTAAACAAAAAAAAAAAAAAAATAGAGAAGGAAAAGGTGAAGAACTTCTGGGGATATATCTCAGGGTAAAATTGTTGTGTTCACTCTGTACAATGAAAAAGCTCAAACACATATTGCAAGTTTTTCTGTCCAAAAGAACCCCTTCTCATTCTACATCAGTGATGATGTCTACCACCACCCTTTTTGTTTGTTTGTTTGTTTGTTTTCGCTACTGGGGAGAGAATTCACGACCTTGTGCTTGCCAGACAGACACTTATACCACTGAGCTAAATACTCAGCCCTGTCTACCCTAATTTCCTAATTTCTAATTCTGCCTCAAAAATGATTAGCTGGGTTGATCAGTAGCCACGGAGAAATATTTACCTGTTTCTAAACTGTCCTTTTGTAGGCCTCTGACCTTTGACCTATCTTAGAACAGAAAATCTAGCAGAAAATCCTTCATTTATTATCACACTGAGAATAATCTGACTTCTGGAAACTTAAAGTTGTAAAGCTGATCATTTTTGCCACCTTTCCAATTTCCCACTCTCCCAATTCTTTTCACATTCATTTGCTCTTGCCTATTCAAAAACTTTCATTCTATTAATTAAAGTCCCAACAGATTAAACTATGTGTATTTATCCCTACTTCAGTAATTGTGTGTGTGTATGTGTGTGTGTTTGAGACAAGGTTTCACTACTCAGCTCAGTGGCCTTGAAGTCACTCTGTAGCCCAGGCTGGCCTGGAACTCAAACATCCTCATATCTCAGCTTCCCAAGTGATGGAATCACAGGCACAGGTCACACCTGACCAAGTACTTCTTTTATATAAATATCTCACTTGATTTTTCAATTTTTAAAAGTGTCTAGAAACAGCCCTCAGACTATGAAGCAATTGTTTCAGAGATGATTCCCCTTTCCCTTTCCCATCATACAAGGTAACAACTTCACATTCCTGTAGATGACTCAGTTCAAAGCATTTCTCAGTGTGAGTTTAAGGCATAGCCCCTTCCAGAAGTTCTTCTTAGCAGAAACACTTGCCATTCCCTTGGAAGGAGATTAACATCTTTCTTTTATGCTAAACTCTATGGAAAGTTCCATTGAAATAGTATACGTGTAAAAAATTGTTTTATTAACATATAAATAAGGCATTTAACAAGAGAAGGCCCTGAGATACAACTGGGAAATTAGCCATTTTGCAAAGTCTTAAAATGAGAATAGAAAGTTGAACCAGCAAAACTTGCTGCCTAACAAGGAATGCAGATCCTCTACTAAAAGGAGTTGCAGCCATGCCTTACTAAGCTCCTGAGTTTCCAGGAACTAAAAATGCAAAATAACCAGTGTTTCCCTAAAACCTGTTTCTTTTCACAGTGCATGATGAGTTACATCGCCCGAGTTTAGACCTGTTGCTTTAAATCCAGGGAGGCATGTGTGACAGGTGCCCACTAAACAACTGAAAATATATTTATAATGCTATACTTATCCTCAGATATCTCTAGATAGCATGGCTATCTAGAGATAGGGCCACTCAAGAAAATTTCGAAAATCAAGGAGCTTCCTACTTATTTCCAATAAAGTCTCTCCTAACATCTTTTTCTTTTTGTTCACATCATTCCAGAACGTTGTTAGACCACGAGCTCTGTTCACGCAATAATCACCACTGCAAACAGAGGTCTCACGTAAAATATTATAGTGATGATTTCTTCACTGCTGAGTATGAAACTCCTGTCTTCCCAAAGCTGCGACACACTGCAGAGTGGTGGAGACACAGCGGTGTTTAGGACAGAACAAGAAGGCAGGGTCGCTTGTGGCAGCGCACGCCTGTCATCACAGCAGTTGGAAGGCTGAGGCAGCAAGAGTACTGCGAGTTCAAGGCCAGTTTGGTAACATAACGAGTTCAAACCAGCCTGAACTACATAGCAAGCCCCGTTTAAAAAAAACTGATAAATAAACAAGCTGAACTGTCACAGTGTACTGCCTTATGCTGGAGACTCAGAACTCTCCCTGCCTGAGCAGAGAACACGTTACACAAGAACACGCAGCCCCAAAGACGAGGAAGACCCCGTGTCGGAGTTCAGCAGGGAGGCTGCAGGCTGTCACGGCTCTTTCTGACACTTCCATCCGGAACGCACCCCCATCCCATTCCACCCCCAGCGCCCGTCCCACAGCATTACCATTGCGTGGCTTGAGGGTCTCCCGGGATCCTTCGTGTGCACGCTGCAGCCAGGACAAATTAGAGAAGGCAGTTGAAAAAGACAAAAACAAATTAAAATAGAAAGGGCGGTCTAGACAACTGGGGTCTCTCAGCAATGAACTCAAAAGAGCTCACTGCAGCGCCATGACACAGGAAGTGCCCGCCCCCTAGGCTCACCTGATTGGGTACTTCGCAGAGCCAGCCTCCATCGCTAATTGCTTAATTGCCAATCATCGGGGCTGAAAGTGAGGGGAGAAACAAACTTCTGAGAGCAGGGGTAGACTTAACTGATAGCTCCTAGCCTAGGAAACTCAGGACCAGTCGTTTTCCTTAGATTCCCCTGTCACCTTGTGTGAGGAATGCTTGCCTTTAAGGGCTTTGCTCCTGGCTTTTCAGAGCGCCCTGGTTTTCGTAATGGACTCTGTGGACTCTTCTGGAAAATGGGTCATAAATGTTCTCAGAAGCGTCCAGGGTCAATGTCCTATGGAAGAATCCCACCCCTGATGACCAATAATATCATGCAGGCAGGCCAGGATTAAATGGAACAGAGGGAGGCCTTGCTGTTAGGAATGAGGCAGTCAATTTCGTTGGCAAGACTTCCACCCTGTCTCTCAATCTACTCATTTTCATCCAGCAAAATGTATATATGGCCCCAGAGAGGAGTACAAGCATCGCGTAAATAAAGAAATTAGAGTGGCATGATAGCAAGACTCTGCAAGAGTAAAAATGAAAGAGCAGCAAGCATTCCACCTCCCTCAGACAACATTCACAGTTATCCATGTTTGTAAAAAATACTTCACTCCTGAAGATAAACCTAATTCCTAGCATGAAGGTCAACAGGATTGGAGAAACAGCGTCACATTTGATCCATGTGATCACTGCCTGGTGATGAGACTGGTTTACAAAAAGGACTTTTAACGGTAAGCTCCCCATTCTGTGTCGTGGGGCATGAGGTTGAAATTCTCCACCTTGTAACAGTCGTATTCCTCGAACAAAAATACATGGGGTCAGGATACAGTTGTGTGACTAGCTTATTTTGCTTGACAGATACATGATATATCAGTAAAACACACTTCTTGAGGGTCTGGCTGAGGCATGATAGTATGACCTAAGGGACCAAATCTAGACTCTGGGCCCTTCTTCTCTGTGTTTCCCTTCTCTCTGGATCCTGGGTCTCTAAAAGTCAGTATCTTTGTCCTTTATGTCTATGTACTGTGACATTTCAGGAATAGAAGATTGTTGTCTTAGAAATAATGAAAAATAAACATTTTCATTTGCTTGTTGTTGTTGTTCTCCTGCTCCTCCTCATCCTCTTTCTTCTTTTGGAACTGTTTTGGTGTTTTTTGGTACCAGAAATCAAACTCATTATTGCCAGGCTTGTGCTGAATTGCTGAGCTATATCCCTGGTGTCATTTGCATTTTATGTCAGGACTTTTTCCTTGTGACAAGAGTAACTGTGACAAAAACTTAATAAAATTCCTATTAGGTATCTGTTATCCACAAACTTTCAAATACGTCAATTTTTTTCTTCAGAAAAGCATACAATTTAATTTTTCTGTGTGAATATTGAAAACTAATTTCTTTCATGTGCACATATTTTAGTTTGAATGCTTCAGTTCTTTGCACATCACAGTGACTTTGTCGCTGTACAATCTAAATAAGCAGAGATAACTCACTACATACAGACATCTGGCCCTAAACACACACATGGCTTCAGATACCTCGTATCTTGTTGCAAAGCATTATGCAAGCTACTGATGGTCTAATTATTAGCTATCAGTTAAAATTCTAGGTGGCAAAATCTATGAAGAATATCCACAATGATGTTATGTTATATATGACAATGATTTCTGAGAAAACATTCTAAAAATCCTTACTAGACTGATATGAGCTAACATCCTAATAGTTCTATCTGGAAGTACCCCCGAAGTATACAGGCTTTCTATTTCATTGGTAAATTCGTTCCACAAGTCATCACTTTATCCTAATCATAAATATGTATGTTTCAGGGCTCATTTATGTATAATCATTTCCAGATGTTTTCTTTCATGACATAGCATTTCCAGATGACTAAACTTGATGACCCAGGCAGAGGCAAGACCAGGCTCCAGACTGGCCATGTCCTGAAGTTCTTGGGGGTGAGGACAATGAGAGGATGGAGAAAAAAACACTTAAGTAGGAATACAGAAAACTGGCAAAATGGAGCTCTGTTTCCTGATGGGAAGAAAGGAAAGGAGAAGGAAGAGTAGGAGAAGAGAGTTCCAATGGCTGCAGCATGTTTATTTTGTACACGTGGAAGTTGGAATACCATGTGAAACCCCTTCCCCTGAGAGCTTATTCCCTTAACTTGCCTCAGTGCCTGGTGTTCTTGAGACTAAAGCAGCTCATTCATGTGACTTTTCTCAGGCACTCTGCGATCTTGAGGCTGGCCTTGCTCCTGCCAGGATTATGATCCATCTCCAGCTGCAGCTGTGCCCTACAGTTTTAACATTGCCTGAAAAATTCCTTTCTTCATTCAAACTACTACAAGTAAAATGCCACCCCATTCACTAAACCATTGGGATTCACCCTGCCTTATTTTATCATTTTTATCGGTACTGGGGATCGAACTCAGGACTGCCTGCTTGCAAGGCAGGTGCTTATGCCACTGAGCTAAACCCCCAGCCCCAACCCTGCCTTATTTTATAATGTCACAACAACTTGTCCTTTTAAAAATTTTCTCATAATGCCACCACTATGAGTTTCATGGTCATGTGATTTAGAAATATTATGCATGCAGTGAGACAGGAATAAGTATGGACACAGCTCTTCTGTGGTCTAGGCTTATCATGGTTCTAGTGGAGAACTCCTCTTACACCTAGCATGACATTGCAATAAAGTGTGATAAGGTAATCCAAGTGTTCATCCAAGTTTTTTCACATTGCAATAACATGGCAAGCAGTGAAAGAAGACATCTACATGTGATTATATATCAAGAGCCCTGAAACATATGTATTTATGATTTGGGTTAAATGATGACATATAGATTCAATTTACAGATAGAAGAAACAGCATGTATATCTGGGGGGTATGTGCAGATGGAACTGGTAAGATATTACATCATGTGAAGCTGGTAAGGATTTTTAGAGTGTTTTCCCAGAAATCCCTGTTGTATGTAACTTCACATCATTGTGGATATTCTTCATGAGTTTTTCTGAGTTACTACCTACTAGTGTAAGTGGTAGCCAATAATTAGACCATCCTTAATTTGCATCATACTGTGCATCAAAATACCAGGCGTCTGAAGTCACACATTGATATTATGTATGTATTTAGGTCCAGATGTCTATATGTGGTGAATTATTTCTGCTTATATTCATCGCACAAGGGCAAAGCTATGGTGATGGGCAAAGAATTGAAGCAATCAAACCAAAATACGTGCACATGAAAGAAATTGGTTTAGAATATTTACACAGAACAACTCAATTGTATAATTTTCTGAGGAAAGAATTGATGTATTTACAAGATTGTTGTAATAGGGACTGTAATAAATTTTTGTTGTTGATTTTGTCACAGGAAAAAATTATTGACATAAAAAGCAAATGAAGAGACCAGGAGTACAACTCAGCAGCACAGCAACTGACTGGTAAGCATGAAATCCTCAGTTTGATTCCCAGTACCAAAAAAAAAGCAAATTAAAAAGTTGATTTTGTCATCATTTCTGAGACTGTAGTCTTCATTTGAACAATTCCAATGCAAAAATATCATAGTAAATATAAATATAGGATAAACATACTGACTTCAAGAACCACCGGATCCAGATAAAAGAGAAACAAGCTGATAGGAATGGGCCAGGGTCAAGGTTTGGTCTCTCTGGTGACACTATCTTGTCTTGGCAAGACACATTAAGAATTGCGAGGTACTAAGATCCCTTACATTTCTCATGCAAAACAAGCTAGAAACACAAGTGTATCGCCTGACTCCATGTATTTTTTCTTCAAGGAATATTGACGTTAAAAGATGGGGAATTTCAATCTGTGATGAGTCATAGCAGAACACCAGGAGCTTACAATTAAAATCCTTTTGTATCTCAGTCTCATCACCAGGAAGTTTTCAAGTAGATCAAATGTGGGGATGTTTCTGCAATCTTTCTGGCCCTCATGCTGGGAAATAGGTTTATCTTTGGAAATGAAGTATTTTTGTGAGGATAGATAACTGTGAATGTTGTCTGAGGGAGCTGGAATGCTTGATTTTCTTTCATTTTTATGTTTTGCAGAGTATTGCTACCATGCAACTCTAATTTCTTGTCTTTCTTTCTTTCTTGTTTTTGTTTTTGTTTTATGGTATGAGGGATTAAACTCTCACCAACTTTGGCTTGCCAAGCAGGGACTTGTGCCTCTGAGCAAAATCCCTGGCCCTCTTATTTATTTATTTACACCATGATTGCATTCCTCTCAGTAGTCATGTATTCTTTTTCATGGATGAAAATGAGTAGACTGAGAGATAGTGTGAAAGTCTTGCCAATGAAACTGACTGCCTCATTTCTAACAGCAGGACCTCACTGTGTTCCATGCTATCCTGGCCTGGCCTCCTATATTTTCAATCATCAGGGTCGGGATTCTTCCATAGAACATTGACCCTGGCACATTCTGAGAACATTTGTAATCCATTTTCTGGAAGAGTCCACTGAGTCCATTAGGAAAATGAGTGCGGCTCTGAAAAGTCAAGCAAGAAGCCCTTAAATGCAAGGATTCCTCAGGCGAGGTGAGGTTGTCATCTAGGAAAGCCAGCTGTCCAGAATTTCCTGGGTTACAAGCTAACAGTGGAGGCCACCCCTGGTTCTGTTGTGTGATTTCTACTGGCTGTGTGGTGAACTCGAAGGATCCTTGGAAACTGTCAAGCCAAGCAATGGTGACCTTGTGGGATGGATGTGGGGGTGTGTTCCAGATGGAAGTGGTTGGAAACAGCCCTGGAGATCCACAGCCTCCCTGCTGAGCTCCAGACACTGGGGATAGCCATTCTCTGGTGCTGCATCTTCATCTGTAATGTGTTCTCCTCTGTTAAAGAGCAGAGAGCTCTGGGTCTCCAGCAAACAGTGTCCTGTGACATTACTATTCTTACTGGTTTACTAACATTGGCTTTTTGAGACAAGCTCTTCCTGTGTAGCTTAGAGTGA